CTTGTATGCCTTGGTAATCTTTGTTCAGCTTCACCCCTATTTAACTCTTCTTTAGTATTTCTGTAGGAAGTAAATTCCTTTTTAAACCCTTTGTTGTGTGTTTGTTGTGGAGGTAATATGTGAAGATGTGCCATTTCAAGGTTTCAGTAGTATGCCTTGCAAATAAATGCACAGTTGTGTGTAATTAAAAAAAAAAAACCCAACACAAACCAGTTCTCCACAGTAAAAGCTGGAAGCATGTGCATTTGTGGAATTCATTATAGATAATCAGGCACAAGTTTTTGGCATAAAAGTTAGTTTATAGAGACATTTGCATTGTAGAAGCATATTTTTCTCACCCTGAACAAGGATAAATACAGTTCATAATTTCCTCTTTGCACAGGGCTACCATGGCTGAACAGTTATAAATATCCAAACTTGGATAACTTATTGTAGCATTTAAGCAATATTAAAATGCTGAGTAGAGTACTGAAACATTTTGCTTTCCTAAGATTTTGATTGCTTTAGGCACATGCAGTTGCTATTCCCAAGGCACTAAGAGGGTAACCAAGCTCTTATTAACTGCTACATTTTGGACAATATAGTAATAAAGAAAAGGGAGAGTGCTACAGAAATGGAGATTCTTTCCTACTTCAAGAAGCTAGTGAAGGAAGGTCTTTAAAAAAAAAAAATAATCTATTTCCATGTAGTATATTTAGCTGTCGACCAAGAAAAAATGATACATAGGAGCTTGGCACAGACCTTCTACTCTCTATTTTAAATTAAAGATTACGCCAGGGGAGGTTTAGGATGGATATTAGGAAAAACTTCTTCACTGAAAGGGTTATCAAACATTGGAACAGGCTGCCCAGGGAAGTGGTTGAGTGACCATCCCTGGAGGTATTTAAAAGATGTGTACATATAGTGCTGAGGGACATGGTTTAGTGGTAATTTGGCAGTGTTAGGTTAATGGTTGGACTTGATGGTCTTACAGTTTTGGTTGGAAGAGACCTTTTCTATGAGTCTATGAAAATTAAGATTTTGTTGTTTACTGCTTAAGGCTTATGAATGGAGAGGACTGAAAGCCTGCTCTAAATCTGTTGATTGCCATTTTGTTTTTTGCAATGTGCTCACTTGTTTAGTACCTTCCCTCCCCTAGTGCCACCATCATGCCAGCAGAAGGCTTCGCTTGTGCATGCACACTGCAGCAGGAAGAAATGCATCTTCCCCTTAGGTCGCACCCAAGATCACTGTGAGTTATGTCAGTGTGAAGTTCGAGCTCTGTTACCCTGCTGCTGTGCGGTCCTCAGAGGAGCACCTCCCAGGAGGTACATCCCTGTACTGGAGAGAGTTTTGTCAGTCTCACACCAGTGGAGACTTTGCTTTGTTGGGCAGAATCCCCCAGTTCCATGAGGGTTTCATTCCAGTTTTGTACGCCAGAGTAGCAAGTAAAGCTTGATTCCTGAACAGTGAATTAGCCTTAAAAATAAATGGTGTAACTGAACAGATATCTCCAAACCTGCTGTAGAGGAGAATATTGAAGAACTAGTAAAGCCACTAGAAGATAAGGAGCCAATTAATACAGTTTCTGACACAAATTCAGAGGTCACGTCTTTTACTAGGATACTGAAAGATTCAGATGAATAATCATCTAAGAATGCTTATACTCAGAGAGCCGCCCTTGAAGTAACTCGCTTAAATGTAATTTAAAAGGTGAATTAGTTTTTACTATAATGCATCTCCCTGCTTAGCTTAAAGAAATAAATGCCGCTTCCAAGCTTTTGATTACAAAGCAGCTTATCACCAGCTGCAAGTCAGTTATTGCTGTGGTCCTTAAAAGATTTAAAGCTTGACCTATGCCAAAGCTCTATTTAATGCTGCATGCCTAGCTGTATTTAACACTACATTATTAACTTGCTTACAAATGGCAAATAATATCTTATATATGTGAATACGTTTTCATCTTGGAAGTTTTCCAGAGCTCCTAACATGGCTTAAGTTGCCCTACTTCTGCTTCAATTAAGACTTAATTAGAAAGATGTGCTCGTTTGCCTCAGTAACCTGTAGAACCATGGGATGGTAGTAAAGTTGGGGATACCACTAATGGCAAGTATAAGCATTTGTCTTTAAATTTGATAATTTTAAGGTAAAATGCAACCTTTCTAGAGATGATGGGCATCTAGTACAAAGGACTAAAGAAAAAGACTAAACTTGAACTATTTTGAGTTGAACTAAATCATGAGTATGCAGACCTTGGATCTTCAGTGTAATTTTGATTTCTGCAAGCTTGGAAAAAAACCAAACCCTTTCCCTAATGCTTGGAAAAGCATTAGGGAGCAGGATAAAAAAAAATCCCCTGCAATAATCATAACTACTGTTTGCAGAAAGCAAGCAGTTTCTTGCTTAAATGGATTCCAAAGATGACATGCACGAAGACAGACTTGTCAGATTGAATTCTTAGTTTAAGTATAACAGACACTTCAGAAGGAATGTTTATGCAGACCTGGTGTCTGTGTGCATAAGATAGTTTTCCATTTAGTTTCAAGTAGAATTTCAAGCAGTCTTAAAGTTTGGCTGAAAAGCACCATAATGCATACAGTTGTTTCAAAGCAGTTCTTCCAGCCCAGAATGTGGTCACCACTAAGAGGTACTTAGTTTTCACTAATTAGCAAGCTTTGAATTTGGGACTACATCATTAATTTGGAGGTCTGGCTTTGGTGACTATTGGTGGTTTTTTGATGCCATTAAATAAGAGATATAGACTAGTAATTCAGTGCAAGTTACATACAATGCATCAAGCCTTGGGCACGTGTGGTTCTACTCACAGGTCATGTTTTTTGGGGCCTGCAATGACTGAACTTGCAGTCAATTCAAGGTTTAGGCTTTGTCTTTGTTAGCAAGTAATACACCGCAGTAGAGGTAGAACCAAATGGTTGGTGCTGAGAACCAGACATCGCTGCAATCTTTGAAGTTTTTATGTCAGTGTAGAAACAAAACACTTTTCTGTTTCAGCCCAGATCTTGGTCCGGTCCAGCTGGATATTCATGGAACAGGTGAAAAGCACATTTCTCACTTGAGTTTTGCTGTAAGTGAATCCAGTTTGTGCACAGAGAAGACTGCACTAACAAGGCCAGATCATGGTAAATGGTCTCCTAGTTCAGAAAGCACAGAAAAGCTCTTAGTTTAATATTAAGGTAACTAAAAATGTTTTTTATGTACTTAGTGCAGTGTTCCTGCTGTTTTCCATTGTGAAAGTGTTAACTCACAGAACACTTAAGATCAGTCAGTACATAGAATAATCTTGAAATAATTATTCTAGGTTCTGTTCCCCCCCACTCCATTTTCCAGGTGCAGGACTCTTTTTGATGTCATATCCAAGAGAGCCATCACTAAGAGTATTATGGTTGCATAGCAACCTCAATGTAATGAATAACTGGTTTAAAGCACTCCTTTGCTGCGTATTTATTTTCCAATAGGAGTCAGTTCCTACCACTGCAACTAATAAAACTGCTGAATAAAAACACATGCAGTGTTTTATGACTAAAATGAGAGGCCTCTTTATTCAAATATCTTGTTATTTCTGGGCACTACCACCTGATTACCACACCGAGTTATCCTAAAGTACCCAGTATTCCAGCATTATAATTTCTGTGCAAACAGAACACCAAAGCCCATCTTCTCTCCCCCCCTACTTGGATTATCAGTTGAATGTACAACAGAAATATTCTATGTATGAAGGTAGAAATGAACTAATATAATACTAGTAATCCAGTTGAAATTTCCAGAAACATTAGTTTTTTTACCTAGTCAGCTACAGTGAAAGTCGTCTCTACAGAAAAAAACCTAAACATGGACATACACCACATACAAGTTATATATTCCCAGTTTTGTTTATTTTCATGGAATGCTAATTTAGTTACAATATGGCAGTTCATAACTACTGAAATGTGACATTAATTAATCTCCAATGCTGTAGAACAGTCTTGATTTATATATATTGTTTTAAAACAATCTTATTTTACATAGTTGAGGTCTCCGGTGGTTTTTAAGCTCTGATGCTTAAGCACACAGCAAGCTACAAACCTTAGGTTTTATATTTATACATATATTCTATGTATTCAGACAACTGCTGTAAGTTATCTATAATTTAATATTTATAAAAAGTGCATATACTGGTAGATATGCACACCTAGAAACACACTTTTACTACTGCCTCCCTTTTATAAAAAGCTGCGTAACATACAGCCATGTTATTCTCACTCACTGCTATTGAAGTCCTTTACTATCTTTGTTACACAATTTCAACTATTCAATTCCCTCAAACTGAATGTAGGTATTTCTATGTATATTTTCTCCTAAAGAAAAAAAAGTCCTCCCTCTTCCTTTTAAGAAGCTTTAAATCATGCATCAGTTTAGTAAACAGTCACTTTAGCATGGATTTTAGAATCCTAGACAGTGTAAAATCTACTTCTGGAAAATGTCTGTCTGTATATTTAATTTCTTCTTCTAGTTACAAAAAATATATAGGATTGAAACATACTGAATACATGCATCTCTCAAAGTGGCTATATTCTAGCCTTATAGATAAATTAAAAAAGTACACCCCTGCTAATGGGATGCAAACGTGGCCTCAAATAGGCCATTACCTGTATTTAATATAGCTCATTACATTAAAAAGTTCAAGTCAGCTGTTCTCTCAAGATGGTGTCAAAAGACTGAAGAGCGTAATACATTTATACTCAATATACAAAGGTGGGTGCACATATCTAGTGCCCTTTAGTTTTTCAATACTTTCAAGGCTTCTAGGCTTTGCCTCTGGTGATACAAGTCCTGAAATGATCTGAATGAAAGTTTAAGTTGAAAATTGTTTTTTAATACACCATAAAAGCAAGTTGTGTTTAAAAGAAAAAATGTACACAGAACAACCTGAACTCACTGGAACAACTGTACAAAACTATTATAGATACAGGGGAAATAATGGTGGACTTAACTTCAAACAGAAGTAACACTTGTTAACATACGTAAAAACTTGCTTTGTTTTATTCTTCTACCAAGTAAGAATTTGAAGCCGTTCAGAACAAGTAAAATTCAAACCACCTCACAATGTTTACATATAAAGTTCTTTTATACAGTGCAAACGTTTAAGACAGAATAACTCCTCAGTGAAACAGGTGACACTACTTAGTGCCAGTCTTTTGAAGATTCTTCTTTCAATAAGTCTATTTACACATTAAGCTAAGGGTTCACTCTATACGCTTTGAAATTTGCTGAATAGCAGCAGGAAAATACGTGAACTAGCAGCAGTTGTATTACGAATATATGATGGTTACTTTAATGAATGCATAAAGTTTTCAAGACTGTATTCAGTGTCGTACTGTTCTTGATCCCATAGTTCTCCAAGGTTTTCGAGTACTGATTTCATTGATGCTTTCCCAGAAGAGGTAGAGGTATCTGCTTTTTCAGTTTTTCCATCCTTCACAAAGAAAAAGAAAAATATCAGTTAATACACAGAATAACTTTTTCAGGAATATACTACGTTCTTCGAGTCTGATGATTCTTTGGGGGAAATATCACTTCCTTCTTTCAAAGAGCTCTCTACTATTAATCATTCCAACTTCAAGGGTTAGCCTGATTAAAATTTTACATTTCAAAGCAAAGCTTCTCCTTAAGTTTTCTCTATTTTTGGCAGGTATTTGTAAAAATAGTTCTTTACCTTATCAAGAGTGAACAGATCAAGAAGCTGTTCTGTTCCCATGCTCTGTAGGCTTGCATTTTCTTGGCTGATCACTGTATTTGCAATATTCATTTTGAACTTTTGAAGACCCATGATCTTCTCCTCCAGAGTTCCCCTGGTTATCAGGCGATATACGTTAACGACACGTTTCTGAAAGAAAAAAAGCACACTTAGATAAGAAAATACCATCTTACGTATTCAAGAAAGCATAACCTTTTAGTATTCATTGTGGACAGCTCGGAAGCAGTAGACTTGGAGTTACCCTTCAGTATCTGTACTCAATAAGCTTGCCTGATGTTAGATGAAAAGAATGAAACTACGGTAGAGGCAACTGCAATTGTATCTGTATGCAGGAAGTTAAGAATTCACTGCTTTTTACTGCTGTAGAGGGAGACTAACAGTGGTCAATCTCTCTCTGTCCAGGCATCAGAGAAGGACAACCTTTTGGGGCTTCCCTTCAGTTCCTTCTCTCAAGTTGCATCTCTTCCTCCACTGAAGGGTGATTCTTCCTGGCCTCTCCTCAGCAGGTCAGGAAGTACAGAATAGAAGGCATACCAAGTTTGGGATAGGGTAACAAAGTACACACTTCAACATCTGGCATATTTGCAAGAATGTGGTATGAACGGAAGCTTGGTGGAAAGCCCCAGATGTCACTTTTATTGTATACTACCACCATATCCAAATTCGAAGAAGCAGGAGTTCAGCAAGGGAAAAAAAAACTTGTGAGAAATGAAGAGTTTTTTACCTGCCCAATGCGATGTGCCCGATCCATGGCTTGCAGGTCTCTCATTGGGTTCCAGTCATGTTCCACAAATACTACTGTATCAGCCCCTGTTAAGTTAAGTCCTAATCCACCAACATGAGTGGTGAGCAAAAGAACATCTATAGATGGGTCATTATTAAACCTGCATACAAAAAAAAGTTAAGCATGGTAAATTTCACTTAAGTAATGAATTCTTGAACCTCAGCTGCTTTTGAGGCAGACAAAGGAACAATTTTGTACCGTATAAATAATATGGTTCATTACAGTTGGCCTCATATTGGTTATGAAGGGATATGCTTACCGCGAAACAATGGAATGCCTCTGCCCAGCAGGTATGCTGCCATCTAGTCGTAAATAAGTAACTGAAGGTAACTGAGGTCTGAGAAGGTCATGCTCCACTATATCCAGCATGCTTTTAAGTTGACAGAAGATAAGTACTCTGTGCTGGGCCACAACAGCTTCTGTACCGCTTTCTGAAGATCCACCATTCCCCAAACCACAGTCTAGCAGCAGCTTAAAGTAAGAGAGTGTTAAGTGTATTATCAAAATGACAGTAGATCTCATTGAAATATTGACATTGATTGACTATCAAAAGTAGAAATAAGAGAAACAATAACTACAGAAGGAAGTCTGTAAATGACAGTCACATAAATGACATAATGCAAAGTTTGGCTTCACTGTCAAACTATGAAAAATTCAAGCGTTGACAGAATAGTAATTCTCTTCATTTTGCTTTACTTATAATAGAATTTATGTAATGCAATCTAACTTTATCAAGCTAATAGTCTCCTGTATAATAAATGGGAGAAAATTTTTTTCCGTATAACAAGAGGGACAGGAGTAAGAAACAAAATGAAAGTAAGGTTTTTGACAAGGCAGCAAAAATTATGTAAACATCACTTTGAAGCAAGCTCATGCTTCCCCTCCCCCTTGAATTAACAGGAAAAATAGGGCATATGCCTAAAACCCCCTTGTACTCTATTTCATTTGCTGCTTAACTAGTGTTTTCAGATCAGTTTTCACATTGAAGAAGTTTAAACCAAAAGCTTTAAATTGTAAGATCAGTAGAGACACATTTATGCAATTTAAGGCACAACATGCAAGCCTACTTACTTGTTTTAAAGCAGACAGCTTAGGTGCATGTTGGATATCTCGAAGGGATGAATTATGAGCTGCAAGTTGTTCTGTAATTCTTTTATATTCAGGATGTTGGGTCGTTAACACTAACGCTGGATGGTTGCATAGCTTTCGTAAGTATTGCAATGCCTTTAATTATTTAGGAAATGAAGTTCAAAGGAATGGTTAGCAGCAATGTAGTTACAGAAAAAGGATGAACAAAACTGATTAAGTATAGGGGCCACTCAGCCACATTCTGCAATTTGGACTTTCATTAAGTTTTCATTAAAATAAAGTTCCACATTTATATTAAGAAAACCTCTATTTCAAAAAGTATCCAATAACTGTTAGGAGCATAATGATCTTGGTTCCTGTTTTAGGAACAGTGCAAAGACTACCAATTCCCACACCTTTGTGTGTGTGATGTAGTAGATGGGTTGGGGAGCTGTGCAAAGCCTTTGAGAGTTATTGTTTCCATGTAGCCAAGACTTAAACTACAATTCTGTAAGACCATGAACCTTCATAAATTCAGACCTAACCTTAAGCAAAATTTTTTGCTCATGTTTTAGAATCTTAATTTTGTAGTGTAAGAACTGATGAGATCAACATTAGTTCCCTCCTGTTTTGAGGTTCTGTGCTTTTGGTAATCGGTTCTTAATTGAGAGTAGTATCCAAGATCCACAAAGTTAGCTGAACACCAGTTGAGTAGAACACAGTAAAACATGTAAGACAGTTTTATATAACGTAAGACAAAAAAAAAATCAGAATTTAAGCATAATTGCTACACATCACATTCCAGGCAATCTGATCCAAAAATCTAAATATTTTACTTAGATCAAATCGCCACAAATATGTAAGTTAACTATTTTGATTTTCGTTTTTTATTAAACCCAGAAATACAGTTACCAGAAATAAATGAACTAGGTAGTAAAAGTTACTGAAGAAATCTGTACCTGAAATACATGGCCTGTAGCTTTAAGCTTCGGTTTTTCAGTTTCTTCATTCAGTGAAATTGAAGAAACTGTTTCATCAATATCACATTTGGCACGAGACTTGGCAAAATCTTCATACAGCTGAACCTGTAAACCAGGCCCCAGACAAGAGAATGAGTATGTCTTCCCCAGTTCTGAGTTAAAGTTCTGAATTATCATAAATCAAGAAAGCTATTTTATATGTAGCGCAAGATCAACATTAACAGTGGATTCTCTTGCAATTTCCCTCAGCTTGGTAAGTATTCTTTAAAAAAAAAAAAAAAAGAAAAAAAAATCTGCAGATGTTTAGATGTTGTTCTTGTAGAATGATGCCAGAAATTAAGCTAAAGAAATACTCTGTGGAGTATTTCTCCAGTATGGAGCAACTGGACTAAAATTAATTTTTAAACATGTAGGAGAAAAACTTTCAATTTCTGTGGTCCCAGAGAATGTCACAGCTGACATCAGATTGACCCAGGAATACAGAAACAGTTCCTTTGTGGTCTTCACTCTGCTGAAAATACTAAGCTTCCAGTCACTTTTTAAGCATACCTGTAGAGGACTGAGAATACAGTAATAATCTTGAATAATTTTGGGTGGAAGATCTTGCAGTACATCCTCTTTCATTCTCCAGGAATGGCAAAACTTGACGGTGCAGTGCTTCCATTGCAAGAACCCCTTAGTGAAGGCAACAGAAGCAGTATTTTAGGGAAAAAAAAATTCAAAACATTCAGCCCCTCCCCAATCTCTTATGTTAGAACTGACCACACTTTCTCCTTTCATTAGCAGACTTAAAGGAAGAAAAAAGATGACCAAGACTTAACCTTTGATCCTTACCAGCCTCTTGTTCTCGACTGGAGCTTCGGGCATCTCTACTTGCCAGTATTGGTTTGCCATAACGAGCTGCAAATTGGCGTTCAGTACCCAAAAATCCTGGCATAAGGAAGTCAAATAATGACCACAACTCTAAGACGTTGTTCTGAACATAAAAAAAACATTTGTTGAATTATTTTCCAAAGTAATGAATTGTTACAAGTTATGAGAAACATTTCTATGCATATTTAACACTGCCTATAAAACACTACAAACATAACACTTCAACATACTTTTGAACTCCTGGAACTTGGTGGCTCTTTCACCAACTTAAGTTACATGAAGACCTGTACATGCACTTTAACATATAAATAGACTTTTTGCTGTGTCTGATGTCTTAATCCACACCCTGAGTTCTTCTGGACAAGGAAACCCAGGAGATGCCAGTGGTCTTAGTCATGGATGAGACAGATACTCCACAGACAGGTCATTTTGGACAAATCCTAAAACTCAGAGTTCTCAGAGTGGAGTTTCTTGTTAATTTCACTAGAGGCATAAGGAAATGCCCTCTCCCCTTCCCTGCCTGCTACTTGAAGAACAAGTGGTAGAGAAAGTTGTTGCCAACTTTTGAGCCCAATTATTACCACAGATCCTGCACACACTCCCCTATACGTGGGTATACTGGGAAAGGAAAAAGATACAGTTTCAAGCATTTGGCAATGACAGGCTTTTTTTTTTTTTTTTTACAATTTATACTTTGAACAAGACAACTGATAAAAAGCACAATAAAATGGACTGCAAAGTAGATCCCTCTTGCTTGTTTTCTACTACTATCCAACTCCTTAGGAAAAAAGAAAAGCAATTACCTGGATTGGTGTCCCAGAAAGAATTATCCTGTAATTGGCAGTCAGCTGTTTTACTGCTTTTGACAGCTTTGTTTTTCCATTTTTTATTACATGGCCTTCATCAAGAATGCAGTAATTAAACTTAATATTTCTAGAAAGGAAGAACATAGACTTAAGTAGCATATGAAATTCTAAGCTATTAAAAATCTCAGAAAACAAACCAATCCTTACCTGAAGAAGTCAATGTCATTTCTCACAACATCATACGAAGCCACTATGAGATTGTGTCTTTTCACCTGGTGTTGTAATCTTAAGGATAAAAAGAGGAGATGATAACCAAAGTGTTCCTTACATATGTTATTATTTCAGCCTTCAAAGGTACCATTACAAGTTTTACCATGTCCACAAACTATGCTTTAGTAGTAAAGTGAACTGCAAAATTCTATGTGTGGTATTTTACTCTACCCAAGTCATCAATGCAAAGTGCCTTACCTTGCTCGCTCAGTAGGAGGTCCTGTGTAGTGCAAAGGATTAAGATATTCTTTTGAGCAAAATTTGCCCACTTCATCCACCCAGTGTCCTGTGAGCGTAGGAGGGCACACCACCAAGGAGGGAAGAGGAACACTGTCCACCAGTTTTGTTCTTGCATATTCCTGAGCCCTTTAAGAATATCAAAACAAATTCAAAAAATTGTTTTTCATTTAATAGTTGAGGTTGGAAGGGACCTCTGGAGGTCATCTGATATAACCCCCCTGCTGAAGCAAAGCTACCTACAGCCAGTTGTCCAGGACTTGTCCACAGTTATTACCATAGATAAAGCCTATCATTAAAGTCTTTAAGATAGAATGTTATTTGTTTAAGCTTACCTGAGGCAATGATCACCTGCGAGAATGCAAATAGATTGTAAAGTTTTTCCTAAGCCCATGTCATCACAAAGAATTCCATGAAGTTTGTATTTATTGAGAAATGCCAGCCAGTTCACTCCATCCTGAAATCACAAAATAAAGAGTGCCTCAGAAGTAAAAACTGGCTTTTGGCTAGTTAAGGTTCAGTTCAAACATCTGTGTGTTCTATCATCCATCACTGCCAAACTATAGCCTTGTTTCCCACCATAAATGCATCCACTACAGCGCATTCAAGGCAGAGGGGAGAAAAGGGAAAAACATAAGCGGCCAAACAGTACACCAGGGCCTGGCTTTGCAGTGTTCAGCTGCCACAGTCAGCCTTGGCAAGGCACAGCTCATGGGCCATTCCCTGAGAAAAATGAGAGAATCCAGAGAGGGGAAAAAGATAGCGCTAAAAGAAAACCAGTATTAATGGCGTGCACTACTTTATTTGTTCTTCCTTACCCAAGAATCCAAGATACACACCGCACAGCTAAAAACAAAACAAAAACCCAAGAAACCCACAAGCAAAAAAACCCAAGCACCTGAACAACTCCCACCCTTCCATAAAATCCTACCAGACTGGAACTTACTGCTCTTTCACAATAGAAGTATAAGCTGTTACCTGCTGATATTTTCTGAGCTCTGCTTTGATTGGTACTGGAATTTTATAGTTTTCCAGTTTTTTTCCATCCAATAATTGTTCCAGAAAGTGACGTTCTTTAGCTTTCATTCGGATTAATTCTTCAGACATGTTTGGTGGATCTGGTATACCAGCCTAAGATAGGATTTTTAAAACAGTAATAAGGGCTACAGTACTTAATTCTCACACAGGCAATAAGAAATAAAACCTCATACTAGCTTAGACATTCTGAACATACAGATAGCACAGATCTGCAATCTCCTCAATTGTACAAATCCAAACTCAGTGGTGTATTTGTTTGATTCCTTGCAGATCAACTCATCCAGGGCTGTAGGGTGCAAAAGACAAATTCTGCCCCAAAGGGACATTCTGAAAAGCTTGACACAATTGCATAAGGGAGGGGAAATCCTAGTCATCCTTGTAAGATTTTATGAGGACTGAGCTATTCTGCCTCTAATCAGAGAGTTTATCTGGCTGGCTAGAGAATCCGTTGACATCCGTTTCTCCTTAGCCACAATCTACAATCCAAAGTTAGATGGATTTTTCTCCTACACATATTAGTAGAATTAGATTAAAATTCATAGGATGAATTCAAGCAGTTGGAAACTATTGGGAAAAAGAAAAACTTAAGATCCTCCAGGTAGCAGCAGACCTTGGCTTCCTAGGTACTTCCCATACCAGGCCAGAAGCTGAAAGAAGTTATCTGGGGACAAGCACGCTCAGACATTATTGCTTGCTAATAATATACAGTAGCAAAAGAGGCACTGGTATTTTCCATCATCACATCTGTCATCCCAGTTTTCTGGGCCACCTCCGTCTTTACTTAGCTTTACTTCAAAACCCAAGTTACTAATCAATTCGGGAGGGCTCCTGGCTGAGAAGAAACTACCAAATAATTCCACTGCATATGTGGTTAATAAAGAAGGGGGGAAAACTAACCCAGACTTCAGACATTAGAAGTGTTCCAATAAGGTATATAAGTACATACACACACACAGACAACAACCTACTTGTTCAACTGCTCTTCCTACCCTCTCTTTTAAAAGAACATGTCTGAAAAATGAATACTATACAATTTAAATCGGTTTAAGAATATGGTCAACTTGCAGCATGATTACTTGTCAATAAAACAGGACAGATTAAGTCAAACCATTTCTCTTACAATCCTTCTCTCAGTCATATTTTCATTTTTAAGGTCGAATGAATAATGAAATTGGGAATGAAGATACAGGAAACTGAGCATAGTTAAGTTCTCAATCTCACCATCCCTGGAAACATTCCAGGTGAGGTTGGACGAGGCTCTGCACAACCTGATCTAGTTGAAGATGTCCCTGCTCATTGCAGGGGATGTTGGACTAGATGACCTTTAAGAGGTCCCTTCCAACCCAAACTACCCTATGATTCAAAAAAGGATTCCTTAATGAAGTATTTGCCCATAAAAACATCTATTTCCCTATAGTCCCTATCAACCTACCCCTACTCTTTCCACTGAGATGACTCCAACCCCACTACACTCAATTTGAATTTCTTGTTTGGCCTAACATTTAAAATTGCTAGCATTCACAAGATTGTCCCACAGCAATACTGGTATTTTCTCTCATTATTAATCTACTTTAAGTTTGCATATTTAATATAGTTCAATATTTGATACTGAACTTCCTTAAGTGGAAAGTGAAGTGAGTTCTTGAGTATCTATGGAAAAGAAACATGAACTGATTATGCATCTGTACACAATTAGTAAAACAAGTAGTCTACATTTTTAAGAGATGCTCACTAAATTCTATCAAAACAGCTTTAAAGAAAAAAAATCTAAGCTACATGTATTTCATAGGACTGTATTTAGATGCACAGGAAGGGCAGCACTGGTGCAAAAGGCAATGGAAGGAACGGCAGAGTGCCAGAAATTCATTTCTACTTTGGTAACTTTCAACTTTTTCAACATTTCAGTGTAAGCATATAGAAAGTGTTCCATTTAAGGCAGATTGCTAGTTATCAGATTCTAAGGTTCTATTATGCTAAATTAAAAGTTGAGATAATAGATACTAAACCCATTAAACTAACAATTTTTCTTTTTCATGAGAAACACACAAACAAATTCTGAACTGTCTTCTATTAGCATCTGGTGGCGAAAATAAGTTACCTAGAAGCCTTGTAGTCTTTGAAGCGCAGTATCAGAAAGTGTCTGAGGTATATAACTTGTAGTAGGAGTGAAAGACTGAAGCAAATCTGTACTGCTTAAATACTACTGGATCATAATAGATGTATTATTTTGCCCAAAGCTGTAGGGTGGGGCTTTTTGATTTTAAGGACTGGGAATAAGTAACTGTACTTATCTCCATGCTATTTCTATTACTGCTTTTTTTATGCAGTTCTCTTCACCACATACACAACACCACATACCTAGGGAGAGCATACATATAACTCCTAAGATTTTTGAGCCAAAACCAGCAAAAGCAGAATTACATGCAAAATTAATTAATATACACTCTAACTTTATGTACACAGTTGAAATGATAAATTTTACTGTAACATTAATTTAGAAGATCACTAACAGAAGGTCCAATTTTCCTCATTTTACATTATAAAATACATCTTCAATTATCTGATATGGTCTCAACATCTATTCAGCGTTTAATAAGCCAGAAGCTTGGACTTCACGGCTGGTGAAAAAGTGGATACAGGACAGTTCACATACTCGGTATACTTACAACTTGAGCTTACCTCAAGAGGCATTAGTCTAATTAGTGTTGCAAAGCACTGAGTAGCCATAAAACGTACACTGTCTGTCTGATCACTCATTCTACCAAGAACTGGAACCACTAGAAGAACAATGTATGGAACAATACCAACATCCAGCTGTTCCATGACACCTGGATCAGTTGTTAAGGAAATAGTTTTTACCAGTTCAGTACTGTCTGACATCCATATATACCTGGCAGATTTCACACTCGATAGGTAAGAAGTCATTAATACATTACATTCAGATGAAAGAGATTTATACTAACAAAGCAATAGAAATAAAAGAACAACTCTGATCTACCCAGTTAAATTTAGCCCAGTGAATTCCATCGTTTGAGAAACCGAATTACCTCCACCAATACTTCCTCTGATAGACAAAATAAAGGTAATATAAAAGAAAGATTCTTCCGTTTCTTGTCTACAGCAGGAAAATAGCTTAACAATTTATTTCATTCCTCCGCCAGCAGCTTTTGTTCCCACAAATTATGCGACTGCAAAGAGGTTTCTGCATTTTTGAATACTCGAGCAAGGATACATGCAAGTGCTTCAATTGCACCTTCTTGTTTGGTGTTATCATCTATTGCTCCCAACCATGGTAGAACTTTCTCTAGGAAGATATTCATTGTTTCCATGGTAGCTATTTTGCTCATAACACCTACACAACGAGCAGCCATGTGTCTCACTGCAGTGCTGGGATGTTGAAGGCACATATAAAGATGAGACAAATGCTGTATTAACTGAAAAGAAGAAGGGGGGGGGAGGTTAATATGAATTATAAACAAAATACTGAATTATTTTGAAGTAAACAGTCTTTTAAAGTCACTGTTGTCTCCCAAAGAATGCTAGAAATGGCTCCTTCACAAAATGTAATTGTTTCAAACCAAAAGATTGTTTTGAACCAAAAAACTGTTTTGGAAGAGAAAGACAATTGAACTTTGAACAAATATTGCTCCCTGATACAGTTAAAGTTCAGTGTAATAAAGTGTTTAGGGTTCTAGTCAAAATGCAAATTAAAGAAGCCCTTGATAATTACGGAAGTGTTTCACACTGGAAAAATACAGTACTAAGTACTCGACTTTTTATAAAAAAAAATATTATTGCTTAAATACAGATACATAGATTAAAGAATTCCTTCCAGCTAGTGACTTTGTCCTAGACTCATCCCATTTACGTTTAGGCAGATGAATTATCCATGTTGGGATTCTTAACTCTGTGCAACAAGAAAGACACCCAGAAGGAAATTCACATCTTCCCAAGGGGTCACATTGTGTACATACATGCCTTTTCCATCAGCACAAATACCTTTTTTGTGTCAGATATTAGATAGTCATGTTTTTCCTAGTGTGGAAGTCCCTAAATATTAGCTCTGATGAACCAGTTCTGCCCTGTTTGGTTTTCTATGAATCTTCTGTTCTTTCTGAAACCTGTATACAGGTTTCAATACACCCCCAAAATTACACATCAACTACACATTATATCTATATATATAATGTACATATATATAAAAGTCTTCCCATGTTGTATGCTAAATTCATGCAAAATCACTTCAGTATTTTATTAAAATAGATAAGAAACAATTCTGTATGTTCCATATGAATCTGCTCAGAATTCTACAGCCGTTCCTTATGCCCATCCTTTCCAGGCAGAGTTCTGGCCTAATTATTCCTTGCATGGGAGCCTTTTCGTGTATTTTTATCATCTTGTTTCCCTTCTCAATGCCTCTCCCAGAGCTACTATATTTATTCTGAACTATAGTACTGGAGATAAGCTAGTACTGAAAAATGTATTCAGATGCAGGCATAATGGTGACTTTCTTGTTCTGTTTCTTTCTTAACTCTTTTTTTTTAACCGGTATTTTACATTCAGCTCATACTTTCACAGAACTATCATAACTCCAGGATCTCTCTCCTGAGTAGAAATAGTTCAGAGCCTACTACTGCATATAAGATATTAAGTCTTTTACATTGAGTAGTGAGTAAAAAGAAATAATTAAAAAAATGAATTAAACCCAGTCTACTTGGGGGTAACTCAAGTCTCCCATTAATTTTTGCATTCCCTGCACAGGTAGCCTGTCTGTTCTCCAGGTTTAGGAAATCTGGAATTAGAATAAAGGAGAGTTGAGATGCTGATTTTAATGTGACACAATAGCATACATACTGTCATAACTCAAAGTCTGGACACAATCTTCTTTGGGCATCTCATCCAGAAAAGGGTGGGCTGAGTCTAAACTGTAGATAGATGTTTGCTTTTGTGGTTTATTCTACCACCTGCTTAAACAAATACAGAATTTAACATCCTACAGGAAACAGGGAAGAAATAGCTTTGAAGCCTAACAGCTTAACTGCTGAAGCTAGAAGGCTATGTCTTCATCAGTTTATCACAACTAGGATACAGGACTTGGAGAACAGGCAGGCTAGCAAGTTCAATAAAAACACCATTTGAGCAAAATTAGAAAAAAACCTAAAAAGAAGCCTTACAAAAAGATTTAAAACACTGGCAGTGAACAGACTTAATTGCCTCATACAAAACTGGTTTGGAAAATGATTACCAGAGGATGTAGCTGAGTATCCATTGAAGCTGCCGTCGTTTCAAAAACCTGTAAAGAATTTACTAGCTCCTGGGCAGGAGCATCTCCTTTTTCCAGTAAGGACTTTCGGTCTGTTAAAAACAGAAAAGGTATTCACAGTTTAAGACTGACATACTGCACCAAGCCTACCAGCCCCACCACCTTCCCAAGCTTAAATCAGAAGTGTAATTACCAAAATTATTTATGTGAATGTTGTTCCTTAATGAACCAACCATAGCATCCCAGAGATGTGGCAATCCCGTTGCCATTTCAGCACCAAAATGTTTAGCTATAGTAGATAAGGCAAATTCAGCTCCTCTTCTCTGTACAACGTAAGGCTTCTGAGCCTAGAAGTAAACAATTTAACAAAGTAGTGAGGACAGATACATTTATGAACAAGAATTATTTTCAAGGTGGCTCCCATTGTTATATAGGCATTCAATTCTGATTATGTTTATAGCTACCTACGACACATTTGATGATAGACTTTTTTTCTTTGTAAGTTAGTTATTTTTTATACAGGTAAAAAAATGAAAGTCTATTACAGCAGATGATTTAAATCCTATAAACCTGAGGATATGGCTTTTGCTGATACAGGCCCACTTCAGCAAGAGGTTTTCCAACTAATTCCAGTTCCATAATCTCAGATATTGCCAATATAGGGGACACTAAGAACAGTAACATGCTAAAAAGACTTCCCAAAAGCAATACTTGATTTGTTTTTGAGCCCCTTCTCTTGCTCCCACCATCTTCAGAAAGCAGCACTGATAAAAATCACTTAAATAATTAAGAACAAAATCGACAACACTCTTTAGGAATCAAACATGCTGAAGTTTTATAGGAATAAAACAGTAACAAAAAAATTTAGCCTATCAAGTGTGGAAGTCACACATACATCCTAGAGCCAGTCATATTTAAAATGTAGTTTGTAATGCTTCAGAGCTTCTATTGCGCATCAAGATGACCAACACTAAAATGGGTAACAGCACACAATCACAGCACAGTTTGTGGAAATCCATTTGCATGGATTTATAGTGAGATAATTATATCCCGTACTAAATGTAAAATATTTCAGGAGTATTAATTTTCTTAATGACACACTGAAGATTTAAAACATCACATAATCATCAACTAACATATGCTGCTTGCATCACAACATTTTTCGTCAACCCAGTTCTCTCATGAAAAGATCCTGGACATCCCTATTATAATGCTATCAACTCCAGTGAATTCAAACTAGTGGAAAGGAGGGGGGGATGTGCAAGTTGCAAATGCAAATTTTTGAAGTTTACCTCATCAAGTTCTGTAGGAATGCTTCCACTACTGCCAGTGGGCAGATCTGCAATTGGGGCTTTTGGAGCTTTTGGAGTAGGACCTCGCCGACTTGTGATGGCAAAAGCAGCTTTCTGATGTCTGTACAGTGTAATTATTCCCCTGTGCTTCGTAACTGTATGATGCATCCCATCTTTATCAGAGTTGGGCCCTAAAGGAAAAGAGAGAATAGCTGACAATGATTTAAGCTGCAGTTTAAAATGTAGGCGGAAGTGATAGCTACCTACAAGTCATCTGCAGATCTCAATGTGCTTAAAAAAAACCCCCCGTGTCATCGTCCTCAAGGATGGAAAAATATAAGTACAGAGTAGTTACTCTGGTAAGAGCACAGTACAGACTTGTCAAGAAAATTTAAGCTCAAACTTCTATCATGATACAATAGCAGATGCCATCAGTAACTTTGGATTTGTTGATGTTTTTATTTATGCTAATTAGCTTAATTTTCAGATATGAATGTTATTCTACTCTGTGTACAAAGAGTAGAATAACGTCCCTGCTATGGGCAGGGACACCTCCCACTAGACCAGGTTGCTCAGAGCCCCATCCAGCCTGGCCTTGATTCGTTCCTTTCCAACACTGTTCTCATCTTGTGTTATCTTAATATTAGCCTACAGAACATAACACAAGTCAGACTTTTTTCTAACAGACTACTCTAATTTCCATACCGATTAAATTTCGATGAAAAGCTTCAAAACACATGTAGATGAAATGTGATTAAGTGTATAATAATTGAACAACAGTAAATAACTGAAAATTGAAACAAAGGTCTTTTATACATAAAGTTTCTGAAAACTATACACGTAATTAGTTGCACACAGTGTGTAATTTAAGATACCTAAATGAAATAATTACTAATAAATGAAGACTCAGTTGCTGGCATTTTAAAAACACTGAAAACAAGACTCACTCAAATACTCATATTAACAGTTCAGAGACAAGCACACTTATTTTAAGAATCCTGGCAGTCTTAGATATCATACCTTTTGAGTTTTCATGGCTACTCTGAGGCTGTGCAGGACATGCTGCTAGTGGGGTAAGATGTGGATCCACGCAGAGGGAGTTGCAGAGATTTTTTATAATCTTTGAGTTGGGACAAGGAGACCTTGTTGTACACTGCTGAAGTAACTTTGCTATACATGAAGCCACATAGTTTTGTACAAGTGTATTCTCCTCTTTTTTGATAGCTTCCATTAAGGGTTTTATAACAGGATTTAGTTTTTCTGGAAGTTGCTGCAAGTTCACAACTGCACATGCAGCAAATGTATGGACCCGCAGGTGCAACACTTGCCATTCTTGATTTGTTTCTGTAACAGTCATTTGGACTTGTTGTCGTTTACTGTCCAACTGCTGTAGAATTTTAGGATTCAAAGTAAAGGATGATGTCACTTCATTGAAAACAGAAGTAACCTAATAAAAAGGAAGAAAGAGTTACAAATCTGTTTCATTTACTGTAAAACGGGTTATCATCTGGAAACCAGTTTTCATGGCAGAACACAAGCCACTTCACCAGGTATTATAATCTCAATTTTTTCCAGCAAATAGAAGGAAATGCTCCAAAATGTAGTTTCTGCAGCTCAAGGGGAAAATCGGGCATATTATGAACATCTCAAGTCTAGATTTCCAAAGCTAAAAGAGGAGTTTACATACTCCTCCAAATCTAGGTTATCCTGTATCTGCCAGATATATCCAGATAAGCAAAGGAGAATATGCTATGAATACAAGAGGCCAGAAAGGATGTGCAAGGTCCCATGCATGAAGAAGTTGTTTCTAAGCTTATTTTCTTTTGAGGAAAGAGACTGGGATAAAACTAAGTAAAAAAAGTCAGCACAACACAGGAGTTGCGGGACTTGCCATATCCTCCCCCACTCACAATTGGCTGTCTACTGTTCCTTAAATCTTTCACAGGAAAGAGATTAAAAGCAACGTGGAATCATGGAAACGCCAAACTTAGTCTACTGGTAGGCTCCTAAGTAAAGGAAAGATGACAGCTATTGAGAAGGTTAGTCTGAGGGTTTTGGTGGGGTTTTTTTTGTTTTTTGGTTTTGGGGGTTTTTTTTGTTCTTTTTCATCTTTTATTTTTAAATGTTCAGGTCAAGTTTTTCAACTATTGGACTTGTACTACTTCATTCTGTCAGTACCTCAAGTTCTACTCCACATAAACTCTATGACTGGAATGACCAAAAGATGTAAAAAATATATATAGCAAGGAGGAACACAGGGTTTTTACATCTAATACATGAAGACCTGTACTATAACGCAGAGTATGTTTGGTGTCTGTATTACCAGATTCAAGAGGGAACAGTTGGGGTATGTGAAAACTCCTGTGCTTCACAGACTATGAGCTCACATGATTCTGTCTAGCTTTACTTTAGGAATTCATTCATTTTAGATGGTAGCCATAATCCCCTCCGCCCATATACACAATTATCTATAACTACAAAGATATGTTAAGTTTTCCAAGCTAAGCTACTGCGTATTACTACATAAGTGCTACCATCTGAGAGTTTCAAGATCCATCATGCAACAGTCATCATGGCCATAACCGTACAAACTTAAACCTTCTCTTATTCTTATCCTCAGCAGCTCACCTGCATACACAAACACATCCAGGATCCTAATCCCCCTTCTCCCCTGCCCCAAGCTGCACCACATCCATCACCATTCCTTCATCCCCCAGAGAAACACACTCCTCCCACCCCAGTCCCGTTTTAATTTGCAGGCTTTCAAATCCACAAGCTCCTCATTTATATCCTACCTCATCTGTCCATACTCATATCTTTCTCTCTGATTAAAAGATCAGTTTGGAGTTGGAAGAAAAAATGTTTTATTTGTTGCCCCACCATCATCAGCTCTACTTTTACTTACAGAGCTTTTCATGTCAAGAGCTACCTTCTATTAGCACATCCAACACTGACATTTTCAGATTTAAAGAGACTGAACAATTGAACAGCCAGGAAAAAAAAAACCACTTTAAAACACATGCTTGGGGGGTGGAGGTGGACAGGGAAGGTCCTAGAATTCACAGTTTATTTACTAGTCTTTTGACAGTGGCTTTGTAAGAGTTTCAGCCTGCTTTGGTTTCTTCTGTGTAGATTTCAGTAGTGAATCTATACCTGGGGATCAGAACACTGCCATTTTTTTCTCCTGTTAAGTTTGACATAGTCTGTAAACACGGCAGGGGAATTGGTAATTATCTATTACATATTTCATGTTAAAGGATGTGTAAAGTCACCACATCATTTCTGAAAGTTACTGTCTGTGTAATAATTATGCTGAAGATGTACTTCAAGACAAGAATAGATTGGAAGGAAGGGCAGGCATGCCTCTACTTACCAGCTCATTAGCTTGATCTATCGTAAATACACTGCAGTTTACTCTGTTTCCAATGTCAACGTGTGCATCAGCTAACAGTGAGATGAGTTGTTTACATTCATTCTGCATTCGTGTAAAAGGAACAGCAATTTCATCATAATAAAGATGTTCAGAAAGGACCCCAAGTAAACGAGGTTGCACACAAATGGCCACAGTTCTACACTCCTATAACAGGAAAAGACATAATTTGTATGTCTGAGTAATCACAATTTCTTTTGTTTGGTTTTGGGCAGTAAACAGCACAATCTAGCTACAAAAAAAATCCAGTTTCCAGAGGGAACCTTAACATTTGTAATCCAAAATACTAAAGATTACGAACAAAACATCCAGTCTGCCACTAGAAGTGAAGTGACAGTGACTACAGGGAAGATAGTCATGTTAAAAGGAAGCACTGACCTTAGACAACACACATCTTGAGAACAGATTCATTTGTAGAAGAAATGTAACATATTTACTGATTCATAGTTCTGACAGTTGGCACTTTGCTAGAGTAATGTATTCCTCCATTGTCTAACAATCAAGCTTTTAGTATTTGGATGTATAAATACCATTTTAGCTTATCAGCTGAAATTTTATTTCAAACTAAGTAGAAGACGACAAGCTGTGGATTAAAATAGTAAGCAAAATTTATTTTTGCTGCAGAAACATCCTACCTTTTGCAAGGCAGCCCACTCACAGATTACTAATGCAACACTAATCCTCTGCAAGGCAGATTTAGAATTCAAGTGGAAGAGCAGTAGCTGAGCTAATGATTCAGCTGGCTTTATTTCTTGAGTAACAGTATTTACACCTGGGTCACAAATGCAACAACAAAGTGCTCCCAGCAACCTGACAAAAGGAGAAAGAACAGTCACTTCAATGTTACGATTACTCTGCATTTAATGATTCAAAATGAAGATGCCAAAAAAGTCTACATAATTAGATTTTGGCAAAACCACTATATAACGAAAGAGATAAATTGCTTTTAAGTTGGGTTGTTTTTTTTTTTTTCAGATTTCCAATACACTGACTTTGCTGCCATCATCCGAGCTCGCATGACAACATAATCCCTGGTTGCTGGATCTTCTGCAATGCTGTCTGCCCCAGCAATATATTCCTGAATCACTTCCTTATTCTGGGTTTGACCTTGCCGCAGTTTAGTGCCTGCCTTTTCCTATGGAATAAAGTTGGGAGAGGTTGAAAGTAAGTGCGTTTGTAATAGAAAAGATGAATTCATATTCCGTAACATATCCAATAACAACCGTACCCTGCAAAAGTTGGACTAAGCCAGAACATTTCCTGGATAACAGACAACTTTAAGTAGTTAATTACTGCAAATCATCTCTCTGCTAATAGTATTCTATGGTCCTCTTTCAGCATGTTTTCAGAAATAACACAATGCTTTAGACTTAACTCAGTCCTGCAAACAGATGGTTTTGGAACCATGTAAATAAAGACTTCATAAAGTATTCACTGGGAGCATGCTACATGACAGAACTTTGAATTTTCATGGATAACCTGACAAGAACTATTTCGCTGTACAGACTTGAGGCTTGTAAGACAGAGTTGTGGAAAGGCACCTTTAGAACATGTCTTTATATACAGCTAATAAATTTCTTATTTTCCCCAGAACAGTTAGTGAGGTTATATTTCACTTACTTTTGATCTGGTTTTTACTTCTAGCAACATGTTTAAGTCAATGGGCAAATGAGATGGCTGCATCATTAAGCAGAGCCAGGCTCCCATCCATGGGCAAGCAGCTGCAACCACATACTGTACGGATGCCTTGTTTAACAGTTCCAGCCATACCTGGGGAAAGAAACAGTGGAAATCATGACAAATTTGCACACGGTCTATGCAAGATCATATGTGTGCTGAAACTGTAGGAACCATCCTATTCTCCTTCACTCTATAGTAAAGCATCAAATAGGCTAACTACAAAAAAATTAACACGAACAAACTATTCTTTATCTGCAGAGAAGCGTAGAGGATATGAAAGAGCAGGATACACAAACACTATATATCTAGGTCATAAGTCATGCAAATACCTTGTGAATAAGATCCAGAATTTCTTGGTTGCTTTCTAAGATACAAAATTGAAATATGTGCCTCAACATGTCTTGCAGAATTGGAGTCAGCCATGTTGAAGAGCTCTGAAACAAGGGTATCATATGATCAAGCAGATTCCAATATGGATCATAATAAAACACTAATACCTCTAATTCTTACCTGGTCTTGGGTAGATAGCAGCGTGAATAATGTTTCCAGTGCTGCTTTTCGCACAGAAGATATAGTATGATGCAAGAACGGCCACACACGTGGGACCAAAACTGTGAGTGATTGCTGAATACTAGTACATGAAGGGAAGACAGAGGCAATGACAGGGAAAAAAAAAAAACACATACACAGAGCTAAGTTAATTTTGTTTATCCTCAGTTAACATTTTATCCAAAAGAAAGCTTTTTTTTTTTTTAAAAAAAAAAGAGAAGCATTATTGCATATGCTTGGTGATGTTAAGTGAAGGATCAGCTTAAAAATTTAAAATAGTTTGAGTTGGTATCTTTTTTTCCAGGAAAATGCTGTTTTTCTTACTGGTATAAAGAACTAGTTGATTCAAGCATGTATTTTTACCATGTTGTTTCCCAGATTATACTTTGGGCTTTTTTCAACTATTTAGGAAAAAAAAAAAAAAGGTGTTTTCTTTTTGTTTTGAATTTATTATTAGGCATTTATGAGTTTAGAAATAATTTAAAACAAGCTTGGATCTTTTGTGCATGAACTTGCACATCAGCTGATGCAAGTAGTACATGCTGAATTAAGATGGTGTTAGTGACAAAACTTCATTGTTAATTTTGGTTTTGGGCAAAAACCAGCTTCAGCAGTGACAATAATATAGGATGAGAAGGGTAAGACGTGGAAAACATCTATATTAAGTGCAGATGCTTAGAGTTAACCATATGTATTATGAAAAATGTTAACATACTAACATGCAATTCCTTTAATTTGATGGAGTCCTAAACAGAGAGGAACTAAGCATGGTCTTCAACCAGTCTACTGTACTATTGATGTGAATTTTGAAGTCTGTAGCTTTCCTTAGAACTGTTTCAATAGTAAAGTTCTACAGGTACACACGTGTGTTTTAATATACATAGTTTGCTCTCTTGTTTGAAGTTTGTCTGCTCCTTGTTGACAAACAAGTAGTTTGTGGGCAGGACCACCATATGAGTGGAACCAATACCCTTTACTATATAGCCAAGATGAACGGAGAGAGGGGAGAAAAAAACCTCACATATAAACATCGTCTAGTACCTTTTAATTATTTTGTTGCCTTTTACTAATGTAATGAAAATACCAGCACCGTCTCAACCTTCACTTTAAGGAAAAGCAAGAGTAAAATCTGCAATACTGAAGCAATACTAATTAAAAGGTTACCTGCATTTGCGGACCTGAGGGTAAGTCAGAAGGGAAGAAAGAAGGATCATGATACTGTTTGTGGAAGCTGTCAAGTCATCCAACTCCAGAAGTGCATCCCACAATGTATTAAGAATGAAAGGCACCTACACAAAAAGAGGTTATTGTACAAAAAAACCCAGAAAAATCTAACTGCTGACTATAAGTGTTATTTTCTTCATGCAGACCAAAAGTGAACTTTTTAATCAGAACTGATGGAAAACAATTCAGTCACCTTCTGAGACTGAAGTTGGACCAGGCTTTCCACTACCGGTACTAAAGATGCTGCAGCAACAGCTCGGACATCATCATCCAGATCTTGGAGACCTTCAATTATTGCAGGCAACACTTTAGGCAATAAAGTGTTGATCATGTCCTGCCAAAAAGATCACAAGCATTTTGAAAATTAAAAAGTAATGCCCCAAACAACCAAGATGTACTCTTGAGTGTGTGAATAAAACTGTAATATAAAACAGAAGCTACAGGTCCAAGACTATAATCTAAATATTGTAAGTTGCCATTCATGAAGCAAAACCTAGGTTATAAACTTGAATGAACTGTAACTCAGCTCAGAGTTGGTTTTGGGTTTTGTTTTTTTTTTTGGTGTAAACAGAGCTCAGTGTTTGCAGAGTAACACCATGAACAGACTAAACTCTTGTAGCACTCAGCTCTGTCATCCTGGCACATGAAAGCATACAAGCTTAGTCTCTATTTATCATGTTTTATGCAAGTAACTTATCAAGTTACAACAGTACAACTTCACTATATACTTGCAGACATCTGCAGCCTGGATATCAAAATGCAGTCATACATTTAAAACCACGTGAGGTTGCAGCGCAAGCAAGCTTGCTTTATCATACTTATCTAATGTTCAGCCACATTCCCAACTTTGAGCAGAGCTTTTTGTTCCAGAGCTCTGCAATTTGTCATGAGGGTTATTACCTGACGCACTGCCAAAGCGTACTTTATTCCTAGGAGACCACCATGTCTCACTTCCCACTGTTCCTGTGTAAGCAGCTTCAGGAGAACATCCACAGTTTTATGAACTCCAGTCTCATTCATATGTTTCAATACTACTCCCAAAGTCTGAGCACAAGTCTCACGTACTGGTGCTACCACCTAGGACAAAGGAAATAATAAACAGATATTTCAGTATGAAATTTGACTTAGAAAGAAACCAATATGAGTAGAGTCAGATGACCAAAACTGCTACACAAACAAGGCGAAATGTATGTATCGGCTTATGTAATAAATGTCTGTGAACAATTACAACAGGTACACGCACTAGCACTGTACAAAGCATAAGTGATCTGCTGCAGTATCTCCTACAGGAGCCTGCTGATCTACCTGTTCACGCAGGGATAACTTACTTCATCTGAAACAAAGTCTCCAAATCTGTCTAATGCAAACACACAAAGGAGTCTAATAACCAAGTCTTCTAGCCACTCCTGATGCTGCTGGATCATCTGTAAAAAGAGAAAAATTGAACACCTTGACTATATTTATTCATAAAGGATTTCTGATATGCTTGTTTTAGCTAAAATTTATGTAAAAGATATGACAACATATGCTTAAATTGACTGAATATAGTCATCTTCCACAGATAGTCAAGGCAAAAATATTCAGCACTAATTCAGCTTACCTGGCTTATTACAAACACCATAATGTTGTTGTTTTGTTTTTGGTTTGTTTTTTTTTTTCAAAAAAAAACCAACAACACACAGTACCTTTATCAAAAGGCTAGAGAGCACCTTGTAAGGTAGACAGACAATTTCGTCCCTACATGGCACATAAAGGTAAGGTCATTCAGATAATCTATTCTGATTAATAGCAACATGTCCTAGGCAAACCAATTTATAGGTGTTTGAAGAATATTTACAAATAAACAAACAATGAAGCAGTACTTCTCCACTGTGGGAGACCCAGTGAAAGGGACTTGCTTTTTCAGCCAAGTCTCCTCCAGATTCAAAGCAATTTAGACCAAGCCTGTCTTGAAGCTCTGGCCTCTGTTAGAGACCCAATAGCTCTGTAACTCTGAATCTGAGCAGAAGCCCCATAAAAGCAACTGCTCAGGCATCATCTTTCTCATATCCACTGTCTGGCTACTAGATCACCACTTCCCTTGAAAACTATCATTTTTATGAACAATACTTTAATCATATTATGGATTTCATATTCCCATGCACGTCGAAGAATTATAGCCTGCATATAGCATTGAAGCTAGCCTGGAGTAAAAACTCTTTCCATAAATAGTTAAGAAACTGTCTAAAGTATCTTACCATTGCAGTATGTGTTATAACTACCCTGCAATCTCCAGGGAACAAATACTACTCCCCATGGAAGCAAGGAGAGATACCAGCTTTTACTTTCCTTATATATAAAGTATGCTGAAGTAGCTTGATTTATATTTGATAAACATATCTCCTCATTCTTCAACACTCTCTAAATCACAAGCTCTCCCAGTTGCTTTTACAACAGGGAAGTTAGTATGAATCAGGATGATATTCACTATTAGTAATCAAGTTATTACTGTTAGGATATTTTTAAAAAGTGTTTTCCTTTTAAATAGACTATTTAAATACTTTTTCTCACAATAACAAAGCAAGCAGATCAATAGAGTCACCTTACTATTTAAGTGAATAGAATTAGATGGTCTGAAACGCTTCACTAGAGTTACATAATCAGCTTGTAAATTTTGTTTCAGCATACCTTTAGCACTACCTGAAAATTATATTTTCTAGTATGGAAGGTAGTGTTTAATAACTTTACACACAGTCTGCATACAAATGGCTGCTTATACAGTAGTATTGGTTTTTGCACAGGCTTTTTAAAAGAACGCAAACATTTCTGGCGTGCATAAAGTGATTTTTGAGCAGACAAATCTCATAGTTTATATAACCCTAAGTCATCCACCTCCTGCAAAGCTTAAGTATTTTAAGAAGTCAGGTTTCTAAACTTCATTTAAGAAATATGTTAAGTCTACGTGACTGGAAACTCACCTCTTCTAAAGAGCTGTCTCCCATTTTACCGCCGCTTTTACCATGAGCTTTAAGTATCTCCCTCAGTCCAGTACCTGCACCGTGTCGAACCTAGAAAAGTGGAATAAAAAGTCAGTTTTTAAATATTTAGGAACAGAACATAAAAACCACATTGGATAAGTGAAACAATACTTGTTTGTCTTTAATAGAGATATTTCAAGTGCTGCAGTTAGTGGTACTTAGACTTGTAGAAAAAGGTAGTATTTTATTAGATCAAACCATACACTTAATCTGTCCAAAACAAACCTGGGGTTTTTTTTCCTAGGTATTTGTCAGCTTATGGACAGAAGCAATTAAGAATTGCTTCTATTTTCTAACACAGAAAATATTGTTATCATATTATGTTACCATGTTTTACCTCACTCACTATGTTACAAACCACTAGTTTTCAGAGAAATATCAACTAAAAGATATCACTGGTTTTAATAAGTTTATAAGAATATTGCTTTTCTTCAGCTTATATTTCTTAAACACTGTATCTTTGTAGCATGTATTTCTCTAAAACTCTGTATTTCTTAAACAGAGTTTGGATCCCCACTGAATATTTTGGGGACTGTAAAACAAATTTCTGAGAATTACTATTCAGCCTAGCTTACAAACCTACTCCGTTTAGCTAAATATTAAAAAAATAAGTGAACAAGCTATATGGGAAAGCAAGTTGTAGCCACTTGTATGTTCCCAAACATGAACAGTTGAACACACTAGGAAGTGTTTTAGAAATTACGGAAGACCAGTAGAAAAATGTGCTACAGACGCACCTGTTCCTGGTATTTTTGATACCTAACTCAACTAGCAATTGGCTAATCAAGAAAAGTCCACTCAACAGATACACACAAAGTTGCAAAAGCAAAGTTTTGAACTGGGTTTGCATTGAGAGGCCTTTACATATGTTACAGCAGAACTTAGTGTTCTTTTTTGTTTGTTTCAAGGGCTCTTCATATAAATGCTTGTTCCCAGCAGGAAATTATTGTATTTCATTTTGTGACTGTAACAACTAGAACTGAGTAGTTGGTAAGTCCTCCCTTAATCAGAATATCTTAGATGAAATGCAAACATATGCGCCCCCATATGTACAGCTCAGTGGCTGTTGGTAAAGGCTATAAGCAAGCCACTAAAAACCAGCCAGAGAGCCTAGTCTTAAAATCCTAATTGCTCATAATACATTTGTTTATTTGGTCCAAGACTGGTCAAAATCATTTGTTTATTTGGTCCAAGACTGCTTATGAGCTACTTTTTACAAGCCAAAAGAGGAAGACTTTGCTAATTAACTGCTCAGCTTCTGCAAACAGAAAGCAACAGCAAGCCAGACAAATAGATAAAGGAAATACCAGTAGCAGGATTCATCTCGCCTGACTTCAGCTGCCTATAAGCTCGGTAAGCAGTCTGAACTAGTCATCCAGACTGCCTCCAGGCATTGCAAGAAGATGCCACAGGGCCATTTTATAAACATGTATTTTGAGGTAGTTTAACCTGTTTTTCGTCCAGAACATACCGTAATAATGATTCTTTATTGATCTACTTCCTTCATTAACATGTGTGCACCATGTATCAAACATACCAAGAAAGCTATGAAAACGTCTGCATTCCAGACAAGTGGACTTTGGCTTCAACTGCAAACAGCCTGCTTTCAAGTAAAGCGAGGCTTATTAGCTCAGATGCAGTGATGTGCCACATAAATATAATTATCCTTTTTCTGGGCCCAAAATAATTGCACTGGCTGCATATGATCTATCTCTTGTGTTTCCAAGTTTGAGGTCAGTATGGCGAGAGCCAACTTGCTATCACTCAAACTGTGCTACTCAAGTGTTACAGCTGGTTTTAATATTTAATCTTTCAAAAGATCAACTTGTTGATTAAAAAACTGAAGTTAGTGGACAAGTTACTTCCATTGTCTGCTCCAGGAAGAGACACCATTGTCAGCTACTTCACGTTTTTGCTTGGAACTGATATCAAAGTTTGTGGAAAATCGTATAAGGATTGAATAAGAGCAAGCAGAACAGGTTTTGAATCTTGAAGATAAGTTGTCCAGGCAACCAAATACATAGGTTTTGTAGCTGGTATTTACTAAAACTCTAAAAAAAGTTTAAAGTTCTTTTTATAAATGAAGAGAACAACTAATAATTTGTAGCCTATCCCCTATTACCAAAGGAGTAATTTCTCACTCCCTTTTCTACTAGCTTAGCATTAGACAAATGTGCCAGTGTTGTCAGCAACACTTGCACAACATTCCTCACTCTTGATGAATCCAAGCCTGTTTTAATTGCTTTAGCTTTTTGACCATAGATTCATGTGCTTTTATTTTGCTTGAATTTCAATACTTCTAAAATTCTCACTTACAATTACTGCTTTCCATATCTTTCCTACTCTCCACTTGAGCATACGTTACACATCTGTTTTCATTTCCCCTTTAAACAAGTCTTAAAAACCACTTAAGTTCTCTACAAAGCACATTTATCTTGGCTAATCTGTATTTACAACTGATGTAATTTTTGATATCTAGCAAAACACTCTTAAGTCCTATGCATACAACTTTTATGCTTCTGTTGAAGCCTTTTTGTATTCTATATTTACACCTTAGATACTGCACACGTCTTACCTCCCAAGAAGGGTTAAAGAGATCATTGCACACCTCCTCACAAAAGCTTTCCAGAGGCCATTCATTTGTCTAAATTCATGAAAATATTAAGTACAAGATTAAAAGAGAAAGGGATCAGGTGAACACTTTTCATGTTGTACACCACTTAGATATGTGACGATAACAATAGACCTCCAAAAGCCTAAGTATTTCTCTTTGTTACTGGACAGAATTGAAAACAAAAAACAAAGAACAACCTTCTTCCACACTTCAGAAACTTTGCCGATGGACACTGGATCTTTTAAAAAGCTTATAAGGTTTGACTGTTAGTAGTAACATCTTCTCTATGGTAATTAATTCAGCCTCCCTTCAGAAACCATGGTAAGGCAGAAAATCCCCAGTGATTCTTTAGATTTATGAACTTTGCCTTTAAAGAACACAATAGGCAAGTTTTGGTTTGAAATTACACTACATAATCAAATTGGGTCAATTAAGCCAGTAATAAACACCACCCTCTTCAAAACACATTCTGCACTTTTGATAACCAGAAGAATATCCACTATCCCAAAACTTCCTACCAGGAAACTGACATGGCTGTGGAAAGGAAGTTATGATACTAACACTAGTAAGTTCACACCCTCACAAATACAAAGCATTTGAAAGGCTAGCAACCAGCAGCTATTCAGCTCGCAGGTATCATTAATCTCAAATTAATTTTCCAATCATCACTTCACAAATATGAATTTAATTACTAAGCTATGTCTGTAGAAGTCTTTTTTTAGAATACTGACTAATCAAGGTAAAGTCTCTTCAAATACAAAAATCTATGTACCATTTGTATTCTGGTATAGCATTTCTTAGAATTTTTCAGCTTTTCAGTCTATTGAAACAAATGCAAACTTTTCTAAGACTAAGGTAATTGTTTAAATCTTCAACTACTGAAGATAGAACTTAATTCTAAAATAAGCCTAATTAAAGTAAGGCGAAGATTAAATAAAGTGTACATGAACATTTAGATCAAATTATTTATGGCTCAGTGTAATCCTATCATTTAAGTGTTTAGCACAGTTTTACAGTTTAATACCCAGGTCTGACACCTGTAATCCACCTACTCGGGTTCATTTGGGTCACAAACTGCTACCAGTGGATTAAATTTCCTTTCTTCCTCAGTGCTATACACAGTTGGAAGCTCATTTTCTTCGTTACGTACAGAAGTAAAGCTGTCAAAGACGTTCTTTACTCCATTTCTCTTAATGCTAAAATGACTAAAGAATTTGGGAGCATAAAGAAGTTTTGTTTTACGTTACTCTGCCAAAAAACTGAATGATCATTGCTGCTAACAGCTGAACAATACATAATACCTCTTCTGAAGCATTTTCTACCAGAGCTTTTGAGTCTGCTGCAGGCTGGTTGATGACAACATTTGCAACTTTTCTTCTCTTTTCTTCTGGTTCCCCATCAGTGCTATCATTGCTGAGAAGGAACAAGTATAAGTTTATGAACTGAAAGTATGCTTTAGGGGAAGTAATTACTTCTACAGCTGAAGACTTCAGATAAAATAAAGTGTGGCAAGAATAAAAAAAAAAAAAAAGAGGTTTAACACTGTGAAATATGCAAAACAGGTAAGTTTACATGTAAAAAAATTCAGCGAGGAGACAGCAGAATACTGTCCCAAATTGGCAATCCTTCTCAGCCTTTTCCAAGACATACAGAAATTCTTAAATAAAATCAAGGAAAGAATTTTGTTTACTGCTTGTTATAAACACAGTAGGTACAATAATAGGTCACTATAAACAGTGAGGAACACAGCATACATCAGAAAGTTGTATCTTAAATTTTTAGTTATTGTTTATCTTCTTAAATCCCCCATTGTCATGCATTATTATTAAGCCATATTTAATAACAGGGACAAACCACAAATTTTAACTCTATCATCCCATTATTTCAAGATTGGTCTGAAGCTAGGTCCTTAATGAAGCTCCACTGGGAATAAGTACAGCACATTAGCTTTTTACCATCAGCACAATTAGCACATAAAAGATTAAGAGGCAAAGACTGTAGAAAGTTTTTCAACAGATAGATCAAATCACAATCCCAGCTTAACTGAAATAAAAGCTGTTATACCTCTTCTCATTAGCTTCCACTGCATCTCTGGATCTTTGCTTTGCAAATAACTTAGCCATTCTTTTGGCTTTATTCTTTTGTCTACTGCTCATACCAGCTCGAAATTCTGAGTCAATTAACTCAGCAGCCTGAAGAGTCTGAAAGAGAAGTCATTCATTGTCAATTCTTACAATGAAGGTCCTGAAAAATTCTCAAATGCACACTGCTCTCAACTTCCCCAACCCTCCATTTCAAACTCAGAACAGCAGTTTGACATCAAATACTAACATGCAACTATGGTGCGTAAGAATTCAGGAAGCCAAAGCAAACCATATTAGATGTTGATCATTGTACTTAAAAGATAGATATTATAATCACAAAAGCACAAATAAAGCAAACCCACTTATTCCTTGCAGTAAAACAGCCCGAGGTTTTACCTACAGGTTGTTTGTTTACTAGTGAAACTGAAGAAGGAGAATAGTCCAGATCTTCATCATTGAACAGATCTTCGGTATTCATCCCAATTGCAGCACCCATATCTAAGCCAAGTTTCTTTTGTAAGAGTTTCCTCTGCCGTGCTATCCTCTCTTTAGGATCAATTTCACCTTAAAAGAAAGTTTTTTAAAAGAGGAAGATGTGTCAGATTTCCAACCAGATGTATTAATGAAGATTTGTTCAATGAAATAACATAAGAAACCCAGAAGTTACAGAATGAAATTGTACTTGGCTAATACATCAACAGAATCTTATAAACCAAATGACACTGATTCCTAGGAAGACCTTTTCTGCTGCTAAAGCTATACTAGTACTTAAACTGCGATCAATTTTTAAGCAGAAAATAACTCCCCTGAAATTCATTAAATTACACTTGCTCTACAGAAGTAAAAAAAAAACTTTTCCCTGAATTCTTAGGAAAGTGTGTTTTGAAAGGAGTGAATTAACACACTAAATCCAGCAGCTGATTCAAGAACTAGCACTTTTTTAATTGAGCACAACAGATCCCTTGTGGGATCTGTTAACTTTGGCAGTTTTGATTTGGGGTTTTTTTGTTTGTTTGTTAATTTTAAGGTTTCTTTTCCTCCTAAATTTTATCTTCTGTTGGGAAGCACAGACCTAAGAAACAACAGCCACCAATACAACTCCTCAAATTATATTCAACCCAATGTCCTGCATTAAGCTGGGCTGAATATGAACCTGTTTTCTTCAGAATCGTTCTTCCTTGTAAAATACACTAGACCCAGGTGTCTCCTTCCCTTCTGCCCAAAACAACTCCTGACAGCAATATAGACTGAAGCATAAGCATGATTTGCCCAAGGTGCTAGAGTCTGTTAACACTCCTATCCTCAATCTTCATGCATCCAGCAAGGCCCGCTTAGGAAGTTAACAGAAGCTACCTCAATAATGTTGGGAAGCTTCAGCACTAAATACTGAACTCCTAGACCTTGGGAGCACACACATTTACATAAAAAAAAAGAAGATTGTAATGCCCAAATAAAAAAAAAAATAAACCCTCCAAGTAAACCACAACTTGTAGCTTGTACGGCTGTCAGACTTCACTCTCTTTTCATGTGCAGCATGGAAATCAGTGAGGAGACTGGGGGGTTTTTTTTAACCAATAGCTGCACATAAAATTGTAAGTAGGTGACTAATACTGACAGAATTTTGGGGTATATGCCAGGTTTATTAGTAATTAGTAGTTAATAAGCAAGTTAATAAACATCAATAAAGTGAGGTTTTTTTGAAAAGCAGAGAAATACAAACAACTTCTCTAGAAAATGTTTTTCCTTTCACAAGTTTATCTTAGGACAAATGTCAAAAGACTGCTAATTCTAAATATTACTTAACTTGCTTTACATCCATTCACGTTGGCTGCTTGCTTGAAAAGGAAAGCTGCTACAAAATGCAGAAGAGAAAGTAGCCTTTGTACATTTTCCCACCAATTAAAGCAGCAACAAAAGCTATTTTTAGTTTTATTTTCTTATTTTTTGATTATTTTTAACTTATTTTCATTCATAAAATTATTTACATGATATGATATGACACTGGGAAAAATATCAGTCTTCTATGAACTATAGTGCCCTATTCCATCTATTTTATCTCTGAACAGTTACAGTTTCATTAGAAGAGATACAACTTGTACACCACCTTATTAACCTAGTATGAAAGATGGCAAGCAACAAAACAGCAGCCAGGCTTAACAGACAGGATACTGCTTAAGTGTCAGCAGCCGTAGATTCTGTTCCTTGCTGAGCTAGTGATCTTCTGCGTACGCTGCAGAGAATGCATCACACAGGGAACAACTGAATCAGGGCTATGCTGTCAGAACAGATTCTTATCTATAGCATTATTTCATTTGGTGAAGAAACTGGAAAATGGAGTGGAATTAGAGCAGGAAAGCACAGTAATAGCAAAACCCAAGCTTAGATTAAAATAATTCAATGTCATTCCACTGATATAAACCAACTCTCAGCTACAAAGTTGCAGAAAGATATCAGACAAGTCACTTGAAATAAGACGTCAAACAGGCACTGCTATTTGACTTTTCCACTTTGACAGTTTTATCACAGTATTTTTCACACAATCTTTCTATATTTGAAAGCTTCAAGCTTTTAAATAAGCCACATCCTACTACTATATTTGAGAAGACTTTTAATGAAGAAAAGTGGCGATAGTTCCTGCACCTCTTAAGAAGTCTAGAGAAATTCTACAGGAGTCTTTAATATTGTTTTTTCTGCTTCCTCCTTCAGGTTTCCACTTTCCTTTTTCCCCCGTACACATACTAATTCTGATAAAAGAAAGGAAAACCAAACAATACACAACCCCTAAAGAAAACAATCATTTAACTTGAGAAAGATAATACAAACCAGTTTTGTTGGGGATTTTTTTTTTTCCCATTATTTCCTAGCATTCTGAGAAACCACGGATGACTAGACTCATAATACTGCCACAACAAACTTGTTCACATCAGCAAGTTTACTTGTTTGCAAGTAAAATATAACAATATACCTGATTTATCATCTTGGACTTCAAATTCTGCACCAGCAGATCCAAGAAGAGACGCACCATGTTTTAACAACCGACATATATCAAATCCATCAAAACGCAACCGATCTGTTGAAGGTGAATCTTCCATAGGGCTTTCTGAGCCTGGTTCTAGATAGGACATTGAAAATAATATTAAGGACAACGTGATGAAATTTTTGTTTAAAGTTCTGGCAGAAAATTAAGCAAGAAATAATTTCTCTCCTCCAAAGGAACCATCAGACACACAGCATTTCGATTCACAATGAGTAAAGGCTCCGTTTCACAAAAGCAGCCTGAAAGAGCTCACTCAACACAGAAATGTTTTTTTAATGTTTTTCCCTTGACAAATTTAGCTTTTTAAAATCTTGGACATCGACACACCACTAGGTCTTCTCTGTACACATATAGCCAACTTGCCGTTTGAACTGAATATGGCTCACAAATCAAACAATTATCATGCCAACACTGTATCATATCACCAACAGCCAAGCATCCCTGATACGGAAGCTGGAAAGTGGTCTTAACAGGTGTGGGAGAAAGTTAGCTACCAAGTGTTGCTGAAGAGTAATTACCCAAATCTAGACTCTTCTCAAATTCAGCTGCAGGTACAGCGTGGTTCGATACTGACACAGACGAGGTTTGCTCCTCACAAGGTGTCTTATTATTTCCTTGTTATGAATTAACTTCCATAGTATTCCCTGCCCTCGACGCTCAGAGATTAGTGTTTCATGGCTCCTAGTCATGTGCTGCTTAGCATCCAAAAAGATTGGCTATTCCTACATAAACCAGCACGCTCACATCCTGAATTACAACCAGCAATGTAAATACAATTGTTGCCTACAAGAAACACAGCATTTAGTTTGGTCTGTTTCATCCCACACTCACATTTATTTATGAAGGCTTGTTCATTTACAGTAGAATGAGTCTAAGTGCACAAACCACTGTACAACATAAACACCACCTACATTTCTTCAGATCTGAAGTTAACATTTCATTACATATATGCAAAAAGAGAAGTGATTTATAGCAAGCCTAAGAATGTAAATGCAACCAGACCACTGTAAAACATGTGGATGACTACTACATCACACAATTTAACCAAAATAAAAGATGCAAATGTCTGCATAGCCAGTTAGCCCTGTTAAATGGTACCTTCTTCTCAAACACACATAATTACCTTTTCAATTTCAGATCTGATAGGCAGATATGCAAGACCTGGACAATACATTCCAAATTGCTGCTGTACTCTAAGACTGACAGGTTCCCCAATTTCCATGTACAAAAGGAGTGCTATAAGTAATATATTGGAACTAGGCTACCAAAATTGACTTCTATCCATGGTAAGACAGTAGAGTCTAAAAAGTTATTAAGTATATGGATAAGTATGATTTACTGGGAAAGTCAGAATGGCTCCTGAAAAAAAAAAACAAAACAAAACACCCTCATTTACTTGATTATCAATGTCCTTAAAGAGCTCTAACAACTGGATAGAGGAGATCCAGTGGACATAATATATTCAAAAGCTTTTGGCAAGGTTTTGCATTAGGAAAAAAAAAACCATCTAAGGAACTAATTTACCACAGAATTAGGGAAACATCCTTTTACAAACTGAAAGGTGGTAAAAGACAGATAAAAGTTAGCTTTAGAGTTGTTTGGGGATCACTGTTGGAACCAACTCTATCAGTCTTTAGCAATGGGAAGGAGTTTTCACTACACACTCTTCTCCAAGATGTAGATGTAGATCCATGTAGATGACACTAAGCTCTTTTGGGTAACCAAAAGTCATAATGGCACTAAGGAATCCAAGGAGGACTCTTGGAACAGACTAATGGGCAAAGAGGCAGATAAGATGCAAAATTAATAACCTAAACCATGCCTACACAACACTGAATTCAGAACTGGCAGTTAATATTCAACAAAGATCTTGGAGGCACTTCTGACAGTTTTCTATATTCACCAGCTTACTGGGCAGTGACAGACAAAACAGCCAACTAAGTCCTACACATCATCAGGAAGGACACTGAAAACATGATAAAAGTACATCATTTTGTCACTATGTATAAATATCAGTACTCTAGAGATGTAGGTACACTGTGTGCACTTCTGTGCATCTCAAGGAGGACAAGTAAGAAAAAGGACAGAGAAGGACAAATAAAGTTATCTAAAAAACAAAGCAGCTGTCTTGTGAGGAAAGATTGAAGAGACCAAAACTTTTCAATCTGGAGAGAAGTTGTTGGAGGAGATCAAATACAATGGTTTACAAAAGTCATAAAGACAGTGGATAAGGCAAATGCAGACCTTGCTTGTCAAATTCTATAGCAACAGAACCAGGAGGCCCCGAATGAAACAAATACAAGGTTACCTCAAAACAGATGAAAGTTTGTTGTTTGTTTTGGGTTTTTTTTTTTAACACTTACTGAATTTCTGGAATCCCTACCACATAAGATTATGAACACAGACAGTGCCAACAGGTTTAGACAAAATCACCGACAATAGATCTGTAAGTTGACAATAAAAGCAACTCTAACATCCCTAGCATGACAATTTCAGATGCAAAGTGAGTACAAACAGAATAGACTTCAGCAAGCTGCCATTTCCCCTCCCTCAGAAAGGTGCTTTGAGCAAGGGAACAGAGAAGAAAGTGTCTGCAAAATACCAAGACAAGGTTGATTGGTTATGTTTTGCCATTTTACTAGTTATTATTCCCTTTATTTATAAAAGCTTTATGAGGGTACAGAGCACAAGCACAGGAATCTTAGAAGAAACAAAGGTCAGACACATCGTTGTAACTAAATATGAACACCTAAAGTCAAAGAGGTTTACTACAGTCCATGCATATAAAAAGTCTCTACTCATAAAAACACAGAATGACACAGTTGCCTTGAAAAGTCTCATATCACAGTCAGTTTGCATCAGATAAACCATGAATTCCACATAATTAATTTAAGAAGCACCTTGTTTTGATCTTGGTGTTGGATTCCACTCAGGTACATTTTTCACTATTGCTTCAACAGCCTGGCCAGCAGCAATACGAGTATCCCAATTCGTACTTCTTAAGTATACCAACACCTTCAAGAAAAGATTAATAAATAAACAAATATTTGCTTAAAATGTACTTTCATCAGCTGTTATGCTCTATTAAAACACACTTACTTTTAATGCTATAGATTAAGAAAACATTCAAACGAACAAAAACAAAGGACAAGAAAATAAACCAAAGAAATGCAAGCGGCCTTCTCTATATTACTCACTGCTTAGCAGAACTCTATACAAGCCATACATTCAGAATTTATAAGATATATTTAGTCCCCTGAGTCAAACTCAGCCTTGATTTCCGGCAGGTACTGAACAAGGCTCAAGACTTTTGTTTTTCGCTTTCTAAAAGGAAGTGTTCAAAAGAGATTAAACAGACCTTAAAACTCTGAAGTCATTTAACCCAAGAAGAGGGACAACTTGGGTCACTTGAAACAACATATGCTCTTCTAAACTAATTTACTACTATGTCTCAAATCTGGAAAAACTATTTCTTTCTCTGAAAGTGGTTTGATATTCATGATTCCTTGGCCACTCCGTTGATACCATCAATTGTGGTGAGGGCACCTGTTCAATAAGAACAGAATTGAGGTCACTCAGCCATCTCCAGCTGTCAGATACAGACTATTTTTGGTGGTTTTACTAGACTTGGCCAGATTGAAGTCTCAAACTAATGGAAGTCTCTTTCCATTTTCCAGCCCTTTTAAAGACAGCCTCCTATATTTTTAATGCTGTATCACACGAGTAACAGTCTTTGAAGGCAGGAGCAGAAATTTTTATAAGGCAGTAGAGCTTCTCTTTATAGAAGAAAATATGAACTTACAGAAAACACTAAATATCAATATTGAATGAAAAGGGAAACCTCATTTATGTAACCATTTCAGAGGCTGACAAAACAGCAGGCTTAACAGGAGTAATCTCCTAATTTTCTTCAGTCTACTATTTTCAGAGAACACAAGACCATGCTTTTTCTTCTTCTTACAGAACCCGCGCTCCTTTAAGCTCCTTTAAGAAAAAAAAAAAAAAAAATTCTTACTTTAGATAAGAGATTATTCAGTTCGTGAGGATGCAGTTTCACTACTTCCCCAAGTTGCTGTGCAGCTGCTTTTCTTGTTACTGGTGTTGTACCGGTGTCCAGTAAAATAAAGAGACGATCAAGCCTAAATATGATGACAAAAAATGAAAATGTTATTCTATTCATAGTTCAGCTGCCCATCTCTATTAATATTCCCCCACGTTTTTCAGTCTGTCTAATGCAAACAGAAGAAATGTTTGCCTGAAGACTATCAACTGACTGGATGACAAACGTACTTTTTTCCTAATAGTAAGCATAGTTCTAAAAGCACATTTAATTTGGTAAGCAAAAAAATTAACAAAGAAATTGCTAGAAACATTACTTTAAAAAAAACCTGCAGTTACAAGAAAAAAATTAAATCATTCTCTTTGTTCTGTGATAGAAGATTTTCAATCTTGAAAAATAAATACTGTTAAGTTGTAAATGATCTTCATCAAATTCTGTCTGATAGAGAAAGCAAAGGGCTCAACTGCTTGTATTGTGCATTATCATTTCTTTTGAAGACATAGCCTGCGATCTATAATATCAAACTCTGCTTTTCCAGGATACCAATCTTACTTTTCACACATTTTTCCCCTAACTACCTGATATATTTTAGACCAAACCTGTTGTTGTATTTACAGCTTTGAAATAATCTGATACCTCTGGTCTTCCCATGAAATACATTAGTTTAACCTGTTTTCACAGTAACTCTGTATTTAGTGAGACCCTGATCATCTATTTTCAGACTACTTAGCTTATTTCTTTTCTAGAGTTACTGAATGAGAAAGTCATCACATGAAAAAGTGACTACCTAATCAAATAAATGATAGAAGTAACAAATGTTCATTATTCCCTCCACTGTAAGTGGGACAGTTAGAACTCTTTTGACAGGGTGCCTAGTTTATCCATTAGTTATTGGGTAGTATGAGGTTATTACTCACTAAATGAGTCTAGAATCTGTCCACATAGTGCAATCAGAATTGTCCCTTCTAGCCTTAATCATAAAAATACTCCTCCAAGTATTGCAACAATATGAAGCTGGAATTTACACAGCAGTGAAGCTCACCTCAATCATCCTAACAAAGCAAGGATACAGGTACCCTGAACAACTGCCCCTCCTCATGAACACGTACCCTAGGTTTGAGCAAATAAAGGAAATGACAAATGTTTTGTCTGTTAGTCTCCTGCAACTAACTACGTTTTACCAAAATTGCCTTTAACATCAGTTCCAATCATTTAAAAAACAAAAAAAAAGGCCTTCCAGCATCACTGGATTTTGTATTTTCTCTGACACGATTAAACCACACTTACTCCTGAGAATATCTTATAATGTGTCACAACACATCAGAAACAGAAGTGCTACAGAGCCAAGGCAGTAATGTCACACAAATACAGTTCCAAAACCCAAATACTCTCACAACTGGAGATACTAGATGAAATACCCATTAGACTAAAAGAAAATTCTAACTGAAGGTATTTCAAATCATTCTAGTATTTCAGACACACACATCTGGTATTTGCCAGCTTTGAAATAATTCTCTTCCTACTACCAAAACAGGCAAGCCTATGTCAATTTCTATAGAGAAAACTGGCTTTCAATTGCTATGATTTACTAGTTAGTAAACACAAACATATCTAAACCAGTAGTTTTGTGTGATTAGACAGTCAAGGAGGAAAGGAAAAGCTTTATAGATCTAACTCTTCCAAACCACTGATACAGGACTAGTCAGGAGGAACACGCCAGATACTTAGTTATTTACCAGTATTTTTTCCTTAGTACATTTGATGCTAATAACCCAACCTGATTTGCAGCACTCAGTATTATTCAGTACAAAATACACTAGCTTGCAGAGCAACCACAGCTTGCTCTAACTTGCTTGTTCGCTCATGCTTAAACTCACCCCTTTCATTCTTCATCTCTGTGAAACGTCAGTGTTCCATACTCCGGAAGTTTGCCATTTAGCACCACCCACTCCTTTAACTATCAAAGTATCTTTTTTTCATCTCCAAAGTCAAGCAGAATGTGCAACTTAGACCACTTCCTCAGCTAGAACCCTTCATGTGTCAAAACAGGAGGAAACCACTATGACAGCCTGCCCTCAAAAACACTCAAGTTTTATTCCAATCTTAGTTACAATACCAGATATTCACTCCTAAAACCCACAACTTTTTGAAGCTGTATTACCTACAAAAGACAGTTGTTTGTTGGTTTTGGTTTGGTTGTTTTTTTTTTTTTAAACCTGCAGTATGCTTGGTTTGTAGTCTGTGATTTTTAAATTGCAATATGCTTAACCTACACACAAATGCAAAACAAACCAAAAAAATCTTTCTATTGTCTCACATCACTATAGGAAGGTTTCAGCATTCAACCCCAGCAAGATAAATAAAACAGAATTAGCAAATACAGCTAACAGTATCTGACTAACAGTACTCCTGGTTACACTAATCATTCTCCCTTTCCCTCCCCCAGACATCTCTGATGTATGATTCCCAAACAGTTAATATTTTGGAGGTATTAAGGTTCTTAAATCAAGTTTCAGCGTTGCTGCAGCAGCATACGGCAGAGCCCGAATTCTCCTGCTCTAGTCAGAAGGGCAGCACTGAGAAAGTTGCCACTGATCAGCAGCGCTACTTTTTTTAAAAAATTTAAGTTTTCATTCTTAGTTTCATTAAGAATGAAAAAACAGTAAAACTTCTAAGCAAATTAATGTTGATGACCTGCAGTTTGGAAAGACATTTCCCAAGTTCTCACAAGGTTTTCATTCTCAGAACGAACTAACAGTCTCTAAGCCAAAGAGAACTAAGTTTTCTACTGGCATGTGGTTCTGCCTCTCATGCTAGACAGTGCTGTAAGCAAAGCACTGCATGACGCACGTCATTCACAAATGTAACACAGAAGTCCAGACCAGCATGGTAGACTGAAAGACTCCACAATGCAGATAAAGTTTTTAATTATTTTATGAAAGAGTTCAACACAGGCTGTCAGAAAAGTTGTTATAAGCATATGGAAGGCACAAGCAAACAAGAGAAATGCAGTGAGTCCCTAGGGAAAGAAAAAAAATTTAAAAGAAAACCAAAGATATTTATGATTGTTATGCTAAAAATGAAATCTATGTCTAAAACTACTTCTCCTGCACGTTAACTGCTCTAATCAGAGCTTAAAAATATAAAGTCCTTCACTTTTAACTCATAAGCAATGGTTTGGACAAGCCTTCTGACTGTCATCTTCCAGTCTTGAGTCAACTCCATCTCATTAACAGGACAGCAACCATATACCACTTCTATGTGAACTCATGCCACATGAGCTCCTTACAAAGCACTAACTTGTTCCAAGAGGTAAAGATACCTTTTTCCTCCTACTTGAGAAATTTGAGATTTTCTAATCACTGCTGAAATATATCAGCAAGACAGAACTTGGAGCAGCAATTTCAAGTTCTTATGAACAGCATTACATTCAAATTAATTTTTTTTCCTTCTAAGAAATACCACATGAGCTTTTACACTGACAGAGTTCATTAGAAATGTTTCTGACACAAAGACATCAATTCAGGTGCTTAGGAACAGACATCTAGTAGCATCTGAGACACTTCAGAATGAGTCATGCACATGGGGTCAGCAGACAGGACATAGGATGCAGGAGATCCTTGTCATGCTGAAGTGGAAAGGACACATTATACCATCTAAACTGGCACCAGACCTAGATTAGGCAATTGAATCCTCCCCACATAAGTATTCCAAGCCAAACCCAGAGCACTTCATTAAAGCACACCAGTTTTGAAACACTAAAGCCTGAAGTTTTACTTTCAGAATAGAACCACCTGAGAGATACTCAAGAATAATCAGTAGGTCTGTGATCAGAAAGAATATCAACTGGAACAGCCATCTCAAATTGGACCAGACGCTTCCACCACTAGACTACTACCACTCAAACAATTTTATCTAACAAAAATAATTCTTAGAAAAAGATTGCAGGCAAGAAGAATTCTAACAGTAAACTATTTCATTTGCCCTGCTATTAATCAGAATAGCAAGGTTGGCTGTCATAAGGTGGAACATCATCTCTCTAATCAACACTTATGCAGAATGATTATGCATACAGGCTGAGTTCAATTAACTGAAGCGGGTTTTGTGAATAAAAGTACATAGAAACTATTATTGACCTCCCGTCACTAAACATAACAAGCCTTTTGCTCTTCCAGTGCATTATCGCAGCAAAGACTAGAAAAAAAAAAATGACAAAGGACAAACATGAGAGCAAGTACTTTCAAAAGAGCCACCACAACTAACTCAGTAGCACTCTCCAGGTAGCTAGATGATTTCATGTTCTAGTCACTGCTTTCCAATCAGTTTTGCATATTCAGCATTAAACGAAGTTAGACATGACTGTAACCAGGCACAGTAGGCAAATATTGCAACAAATGACCTGCTCTGTTTTTCATGCTAATCTTCAGCTCTTTGCTGCCTAAAGGTATGTCTCCAAACAGATGACTGATCTCCATTTGAAGGGACAGTTATCATAATATTTAAAGTGAGCCTTATGACACTCCTGTGGAGACTGGATAATGTAGATTTGAAAGCCCTTCAACTATAGAGACATTAGAAAGCTAGTAGCGGGATAGTTAACGACCAGGTCAAGATACAGAGGTTATCAACAGTATCTCCAAAGTGTTTCCAAAACAAGACATATGCAGCTGAATTGTATACAGATCCTGATCATCCCAGTGTAAGCATCCTGACTGGACTGGGTCCCCACAGGGCTTCAGATGGGGAAACTTCCAATTAGTTGATTTCAATGAGTTAAGTTTTGAACAGGACAGTGAACTGATCACTGCTGCCACTGAAACGATCTGTTTGGACTCTACATCTCTGTGTGCGCCACTGTGTTTAACTGGCCAGGGAGCAGTCTGACAGTACAGGCCAACTGGTACAGAACAGCTGATAACTATCCTAGCATATCCTCTAATCCATTAAAATTGTGTGACTGTACAAAAAACCCTTAGTGGCATAGTCCCTGGAACACTCCAATGTCAAACTCTGCCTAGAGCGCTTGGGAAAACTGCTAGCTAGAACCCATCAGAAGGCAAGGGAACGCTCTGAGGAGTT